GTTAAAATAGCGGTTCCTTTGAGGAGAAAGAAGAAAAACGTATGGGAGGGGCAAGAATGTGGCTTCTGTAGTGCTGCTATAATTCTTCACTCAGGTGTGAGTTAGATGAGTGCTTCCACTTTGTGGAAGTTCACTGAACTGTGCACCTATGATTTGTGCACTTTTTTGATTGGATAATATACATCAAAACAGTTTGATTTTTAAATAAAAATGTATACGGAAGGATTTAAAGTACAGTAAATCCTTGGGTTGCAAATAACTTGTTCTGTAAGTGTTCCTCAAGACAAGGAAACATTTTTAATAAATTCCAATTTGATAAACGAGTGACGTTTTGCAATACGAGTAGTTATGTGTCCCCAAATGTCACATGATTACAACTGAGCCAATAGTTCTTCTTCTTCTCTCTCTCTCTCTCTCTCTGCGGGATTGTGGGTGATCAGCAATGCAATGTCACATTTCTGCGAAATCCTCAAAAGGAGGCAAAAGAAAGTGTCATTGGAAAGGTTCCTTGTTAGAGTTTCATGAAAAGAAAAAGATTCAATTGAGCAGATAGATAGCAGTGATTAGTGATAGTGGAAGTCTTCCTACACAATAACCCTCTTCTGTCTTCCCGCACACAAGCCACGAAGGTTTTCAAAGGTAAGTGCAGGTTAATTTATTTTTCTGTATATGCTGTATTTTCTTTTTGTATTATAATATTTTATTAATTTTTTAAAAATTTGTTTATTTTTGAGAGTGAGACAGAATGTGAGTAGGGGAGGGACAGAGAGAGAGGAAGACACAGATTCTGAAGCAGACTCCAGGCTCTGAGCTGTCAGTGAGATCATGACCTGAGCAGAAGTCAGATGCTCAACTTACTGAGCCACCCAGGCACCCCAGTATTGTAATCATTTTTATGTAAATCTTTTTGGGTTGTAGAATGAATCATCTAAGTTTCCATTATTTCTAATGGGGAAATTTGCTTTGATATGCAAATGCTTTGGATTACAAACATGTTTCCGGAACAAGTTATGCCTGCAATCCAAGGTTTTACTGTATGTGAAAACAGTACCATTTATGTACGAGTGGGTTGGTGTAAATAAACAAGAGTTAAAGTGTTCTAATATCCTTGCATTGTCTAGAAAGAGTGAAACTACCAATTAACCAACCCCCCCCCCACTTCCAAATGACTTGTATAGCTGATTGAGTTAGGTGGTTCTTAATATAATTAATATCTATAATATATTTGACCTCAATCTCTTACCTAAAGAGTAGATGCTATCGGAATAGTTCAGGGAGTAGTGTTTAACTCAGATGAAAATTTGAAATGGAAGTATACTTTTTAGGTTTTAGGAATAGACTACTATATACCCAGTAATTTTCAGAGGATGACTAACTTGTGCTAAGGGTAATTATCTATTCTGCTGTCAAACTTTTTGTGTATAAATGGAGTTTTAACACTTCAGTGCTACCATGAGAATAGTGCAGCAGATCCAATCCTAAAGAGTCAGATCAGCTTAGCAGCAACTGGGGACCGAGGGAAGTTCACATTAGTGTTTCTTAGATGTACAGATGACTCTGTCTCCTGAATAGAAAGCTCAGGTATGGAGACATTGACTTGACCCATGGCCCGGTGGCAGAATAAACTTGTGTTTGCCTCCATCTGTTTCTTATTCTCCCAGAAATTGGTCACATCGGTAAATATGGGATCACACTATGCCTATTTGTTGTATTTTATTTGTATAAAATTACCGTTTATACTGCATAAATAATCTATCAGAAACATAATTCGGGGGGGGAATCAAAAAGAAATGAGACAGGTATGATGGAATTTAGGAATGAGTTTTAGAAACAAAACAAGTGACATTCTCTTTCTGGAGAGTAAGTTTCCTCATCTGAGAAAATGGGGATAATAATACAATACATATTATTTCAAGATTACTGTGAGAATCATATGAAACATTAAAATCAGGCTCCACGACATACCAGCTATGTGACCTTGGGCAAGTTATGAGCACATAATCTTTCTGGATTTTAGCTTTCTCATCTCTAAGATAAGAATATAGTAGAATGTATCATTCATGTAGTAATTTTCTTTTAAACACATTAGTATAAATAGTACACATACATGTGAATGTATACATTGTATATGTGTGTGTCCGTTTATTTTCACCTATATGTGTGGGATGCTTAGTTTGTTTTTGAAGTACACTAATCCATAATCGATACCACAATGCATTTGTTAATAACATATGGTTATTCAAATAATTTTTCATTGGTGAAATACATTGTATTTAAGATAATAGGTTTGACCAGAAATTTAATGCATATTGCTCTCCCTTTGAAGGAATGAGATATAAAAATCCGGAAAACTCAGCAGTCTATCTTTTGGAGACGGCACTCCAGATCTAGAGCTCTATGTCTTTCACTTCACAGAGTACTCTTGACCCAACTAAAGGATTGGCTACTCCTTTTGGAATATAATTGGTTCCAGAGTGGATAATCAGTATACTTTATAGTCCTTCTGGCAGTGTTATCTTTTGATAAGTTCAACATTCCTTCTTAGCAGTAGGTGCCCAGACCATACAGGCTGTAAAATATTTAGAACTTCACTCTTATTTATGCCCAACTTGGAGCAAACATTTATCCACTGGGCTTATAACAGCATCTCACAATAGAGAGCTTCCAACAACACACTGCATGACTGCTTTTTTGCCTTCTTGCAAATAAATTTGTATTTGTTAGATTTTGGTTTAATGGCTTACATGGATTCCAACTTATGACATTGTGAGAAGGTTGTCTAAATTTCATAATACCTGCACATGTGAAATAAAGGTACATGTACAAAGTTGCAACAGCCTTAACCACTTTCCAAACTCTGGAAACACAGCCTTCCAGCCAAATAAGAGCCACTTCTCCTCTCACTGCTTGTCTGGCCTAAATCTCTAGCTAGCAGTTGAAGAGGCTGGGAGAAGGGAAAGGAGAAATGAAACCAAGCAAAGATAGTAACATGCCTTTGCCTGAGGGTGAGCGGCTGCTAACTATGGCCCTTTGCTTGGTTGAAATGAAGCAAAAGAAAACTGAAGCATTGCTTAATAAATTAATCTGAATATATTTTATTCACTGAATCCTGATTGGATTTTTATCATTTAAAATGATGATACCTAAATGTGGACAGGGATGTCAGGGGATCTGTCCAACTTTTCACTCAGAGCCACAGCGAATTTACCCACACTGAATACTTTTTAAAGGGGTAGAGGGAAACAAAAATAAAATTTTGTTTGAATTTCATCATAAGTCCTTTTCATTCAATTGCTTGATATAAATATTTAAATATTATATTTATATTACATAAAATATTAAGAATTATGTTTCTTCTTATAATTGGTTTAAGGTGGCTCAACTCTTGTGTATATAATCATAAAATGGTTTTATTTTTTTCATTAACTATGATCACCTGTATTCATTTTTTTAAAGTATATTTATTTATTTTTGGGGGGGTGTGCACGTGAATGGGGGAAGGGCAGAGAGTATGGAAGAGAGAAAGAGGATCCCAAGCTCATGGGTCTCAAACTCACAACTGTGAGGTCACGACCTGAGTCAAAATCAAGAGTCGGATGCTTCACCAACTGAGCCACCCAGGTGACTCTCATTTGTATTCTTTTGAAACTGCCTTTGTCTCTTTCTATTATAAATAAGTACCTTTCATGTTGTCTCTAATTTGATAACACTTTCAGTCACTTTCACTTATTAAAACAGCTTCTCCCATCACAATAATATTTCAGGACCTCCTTTATCTGTCTTGATAGTAATGTCCACCAATACTTCTCAACCCCCCAGAACCAGACCCTCTCTGACTGTAAGTAAGCGTGGATAACTAAATATCAGCCAGTACCTCATATTATTGTATTAAGAACATTTGCAGGAAAGATTCATAAAGGCTTCCTTGCCTTCTTATAAAGAAATATTCTTACCAGTCTCTGGGATCCCATTAGTCATTATAAAACAAAACAAGACAAAACAAAACAAACACCCCACAAAACCCCCTGATCTATTGTCATTATTAAAGGTGTGTTTATGCATGTAATGTTGGAAACAGATTATTTTGCATCCCACAGTTATGTATAAGCCATAAAAGCTGAAGCTCCTTCCCAGTATCTGCAAATTATAACAAGCAATTTTGCATTAGCAGTTTATTTAGTTGTGCGTCTGAATCAGTGTTATCTCTAAACTTTGAAAAAGTTAGAGATGGAGACTATTATTCAGTAGTACCCCACTCATAGATATATATAATGTTTGGCTGACATTACTATATGGGAATAACTATATGGAATTCCAGTTATAGATCCCATGCGAGAAGTACAACCAAATGGATTTTGGTTTTGGTGAAATAAGTGAAGTAATTTTTTTCTCATTTGTAGTTTCTGAATTTCTACAGTGATCCTATAGCAACTTTTTATATTTTCAAAGTACTTTTTAAATCTTATGAAATAAACAGAGCAATTATCATGATCAATTTCCAAAAGAAGAAACCAGAACATGCTCAAAAAAAAAAAAAAAAAAAAAAGACACTAGGAAAATAGGCAGCCCCAGAGCTCTGATTCCCAGGTTAGTATTTTTTTTATCTCTACCATACCTTCTGGTATGGTACAATACCTGACACAAAGAGGTGATGCCTCCAAAGAACTTAATGAGGGCGCTTAAATGAGAGCAATAAAAATATAGAATTACCTGATATACCAGAGTAATTTTAAATTTAGTTTTGGACCTCAGGTTTCCCTTTACTTTATCTGATTGCTACTTTTTTTCTTATATTCCAACCAAATAATTTGTTTTTATAGCTAACAGTAAGGAACCTGCTTCAGAGATGACTTTTCAGTCCATACATTGTTCTCTAGTGATTTACCGACAGCTCGGACCTTTATCCAGGATATCTGTTGGGAGACACACTTCTTACTCCTGAATCAGACAGAATATCAAGGAGAAGCCAAATCACACATGCATGGCACAAACTAAATAAAGCTGCTAGGTTTTCAGTGCTTTATTGCAATGATGTTAGTATCCTTAGATGAATATAATCACGTTAGCAGTCTGGTTTGATCACTGAGAAAATAAAACACTTCTCAAACCTCACAGAACAGTGTGAGATGCAGACTAGAACGAGTTATGCTTTCATCTCTTTGTGAAACAGTCACCACATGCAGGCCAGGACATCATACAGGCATTTAGTGCTGCTCTACAGCTTCTAAATGGTAGAGGAGAGATGAGGCAGACATCAGAGGGAATTTCAAGCCAATTGCAGTCAAACATTATCCAGGAAGCATCAGATAGAATAGAATTCCATGAAAGCTGGAACTTGCTTCAAAACCTGGACTATCGAAGCTTACAATTAAATTCACTTTTTTATGTTTTGTTTTTTGTTTTGTTTTTATTTACAAGGAAATTACACACATTTGCAAAACTGTTAGCTCTATGTTGATTCTCAACCCAGTTATTTGTAGTCTTCCAGGAAACTCTGAGGTGGTTATTTTTTTTGCTATTCTGTTACTCAAAATGTTATAACCTACTTTAATGATTTAAAAATGAGAGCAACACCTGTATATATACAGATAGTTTAACGGATAGTGACAGTTTAACAGAAAGAATTAGGAATGAAGAAAGGTGTTCCATGTCACTCTCTTAAAAAAAAGCACAATGGCATAGATATAAATGATGGTTTGGTAACAACAACCAAACGAATGTAATATAAAGACGCCACTGTTTTAAGATCAAAGCAAAGCCAGCCAACAGACTTAAGAAATCAGCTATGTTAGTTCATTAAAGTATTTTTCACAGCCGCTATGATGTGTCTGGCGCTGATTCCAAACTTATCCAGCAATTCGCCCGGTTTTCCACTTTGAGGCACTTCTGACACTGCCAGTTGATGAACAAGGATGCCAGGCTCCCCAGAGACATCTGCACATACAGCTTCTCCAATGCCACCTTCCCGGTAGTGATCTTCCACTGTGATGATCCGGCCACCTGTAGCTTTTGCATTGGAGATGATGTTGGGGGCATCCAAGGGTTTAATGGTGAATGGGTCAATGACACGGATAGAAATACCTTGTTGAGAAAGACTGTCAGCAGCTGCTAAGGCTTCATGCAGAGTAACTCCAGCTCCAATAACTGTGACTTTGTCATTGACACTCTGGCGGATGACCTTGGCCTGTCCAATCTCAAAATTTTCTTGAGGGTTATAAAGAACTGCAGTTTCTGGTTGGCTGGTCCGAATGAAGCACATTCCTTTGGTATTGGCAGCCAGATAAACCGCATACTCTGTTGAGACGGCATCACTTGGATAGAAAATGGTACAGTTGGGAATACTTCGGAACATGGCTAGATCCTCCAGAGCCATCTGGGAGGGTCCATCTTCACCAATGGATACCCCACAGTGGGAACCAGTAAGATTGATATTGGTTTGAGATATGGCGCCCATCCTTATCTGATCAAATGCTCTGGTCAAAAAGGCAGCAAAGGTACTAACAAAAGCAATGGTTCGACCACGTGTGGCACAGCCTAGTGCCACACTCACCATGTTTTGCTCAGCAGTAAAACACTCAATAAAACGCTCAGGGTGGTCTTTATTGAATATCTCGGAGAAGTTGGAGTTTTTTGTGTCACCATCCAGGACAATAACCCTTTCATTTGCGTGGCCTAATTTCGCCAAAGCCAAACCAAAGGCTTTCCTAGTAGCTATCTTGTCACCAACTACATAATCAGGCAGACAGGTCATTTTTATATTCCTGATGCTGATTTGAGGTGAGTCTTCAATGGGAGGTTTGGGAATTAGATTCCTGTTGGTCTGTATCTGACTCTCAATTAATTTGATGATTGCATCTACTCTGTCTTTCGGCATGGGCTTTCCATGCCAATTTTCGGCATCCTCAATATTTGGAATACCCCGGCCCTTGAAGGTCTTTGCAATTATGGCAGTGGGCTTGTTCTTCACTTGAGCCGCTTGCCCAAACACTTGGCATAATCCCTCCACATCATGGCCATCCACTAGGTAAGTATTCCATCCAAAGACTTCACAGCGATTCTGATAGATGTCTGTGCAGTGGCCAAGAGGTGTGACTCCACTTTGTCCTAAGCGGTTCACGTCGAAGACTGCCACCAGATTGTCTAAATTGTAGTGAGAAGCAAAGGCCAAAGCCTCCCAGATAGAGCCTTCGGAGGATTCGCCATCCCCTATAAGGCAGAACACCCGGTAGCTGGCCTTGTCGAAGTACTTGCCAGTATACGCCATTCCACACGCGGCACCCAATCCTTGCCCAAGTGACCCTGTTGCCACGTCAACAAACGGCACTCTTGGGGTGGGATGTCCCTCCAAGTCACAGTGAATTTTCCTCAAGTTCAGCAAGTCAGATTCGCTGATGTTGCCCAGCTCTGCCCAAGCGGCATAGAGGACTGGAGCAGCATGGCCCTTAGAGAGGACGAATCGGTCGTTGTCGGGGTGTCTTGGGTCTGCCTGTTTGTACCTCATGGTGTGGAAGAAGAGCACGGACATGATCTCGGCTGCGCTGCAGCATGAAGTGGGGTGGCCGGAGCTGGATGCACACGTAGCCCTGATAGAATGAATTCGAAGGCGGTTGGCCACGTCCCGCAGCACCTGCACGGTGTTCCCATCAGGCTTGCAGTCGTTGGCCATGACAGTACGCTCAGCGGTTCCCTCGGAGCAAACGGCGCCTGTGCACCGGGCACAGTTCTGTCACGTGACCACTACCCCCGGCCCCGCCTCTTCTAGGAAGTGAGCGCCGCCAGCGGCAAGAGCCGCGAGAAGAGAGGCTTCGTCGCGAGACACAGGGGTTGCTGTGCACCGCTTATTCTCCTTGCGTGTGCCGCCGTGACCTTCTGCGCTCAGTGGAATGTATTTTTATATTAATTTTGTCACTTGCATGTTCAACGTTATTGAAAATAATTAAAGTTCTTCATACCTTTCCTAATGTTATACATTCAAAAGGGATCATTCTTGTTTCCATGTGTTATACGGAGAAATTTATGAGGTTGTGCTTTTTTTTTCCTTCTAATGCATTCTGCATGTATTCAAGATTTCGCCACTGCTTTATAGCTGGCATTAATAGAAATGACCCAAAGTCACTTTCAATCTAGCCAATATGGTAACATATGCCAACAGAGACTTTCTCAGAACAACTGAAAATTCTGTCTCTGACTCATAAAACTACAATGGCTTATTTGGCCAAAAGTTGCAGGAAGAACAAATTTAATACTCAATGGCAGAGTATCTAGTACTGCAGTTTTCCCAGTATACCCTAAAATGCTATAACTCTTACTATGAGTAATTTTTTAAAGTTATTTTGAAAGATAGTACAAGCCGGGGAAGAACAGAGAGAGGGAGAGAGAGAATCCTAAGCAAGGTCCCTACCGTTAGCCGGGAGCACGATGGGGGACTTGAGCTCACACATGGTAAATCATGACTTGAGAGGAAATCAGTCCCCTGGCTTAACTGACTGAGCTACTCAGGCACCTGGCTTTGAGTAATTTTTAATATAAAACTGATTTACTTACATTAATTATAAAACTAAATTTGTGACAGCGAGCTCTTCTAGCAGGTGAGAGTCATTGTGTGTCATCAGAAAAACAAAAATATGACAGTATATCCTTTTCCATGTTGCCGTAGTAAGCATCTGGATTCTTGGACAATAGTACTTAACATTGATACTGTATGAAAATCATGACACAGGGAACAACAACAAAACAATGCCTCGGTTCCACCCCAAATTGAGTAATTCACATCTGTGGGACTAGAGCCTGGGAAGCTAAATATTGTTATATATACCTGTTGACTTTAATGTTTAGTGAAGTTAAGAACAGATAAACTGCAGATAGACTTTAAGACTGGTGATTCTTAATATTGGTTGTAGTTGAGAATCATCTGGGGAGTTTTTTTAAAAAATATCATGTCCAGGCTGCATTCCAAACAAATTAAATCACAATTTTTGCGTGATGGATAAAGATGTCAGTCATTTTAAAGGCTCCCCAGATCATTTCAATATCCAGTCAGGTTGCAAACAACTAATTCAGGGAAGTCTCACTACTTTACTCTTCATACTTCTCTTACATTATATCTCAGATAAACATTTTAGATAATTAATTAATTTATTTTTAACTTATTTTTAATGTTTATTTATTTTGAGAGAGGGTGGGGAGAGAGAGAACACGAGCAGGGGATGGGCAGAAAGAGGGAGAGACAGACTCCAAAGCCGTCTCCAGGCTCTGAGCTGTCAGCACAGTGCCCTACAAGGGGCTTGAACTCACAGACCGTGAGACCATGATCTGGGTTCAAGTCAGACGCTAACCGACTTTGCCACCCAGGCACCCCTCTCAGATAAATACTTTAAATATTTGCCACTTGAACTAATTCTATCATTTTCGTTTTTAAGGGTACATATTAGAGTAAATCATAATGGTATGACATTAACTAGCTCTTAAGATTTGCTGAAGGAATGTTGGAGTTGGAAAAGTCCTTAAGGTCATTGTGGATTCATTCTCCCCATGTTCTTTGCAAATTAATGTTTGTTTATCTTTTTCAGACAAATAAGGGAAGAGAAAATAAAAACAGAGTTGACTAGGGCTGAGGGTGAATATGGGAATTAGAAAGAAAAAGTTTTCACAGCGTCGTAACAGCACACTGGTGGGGTCAGACAGGAAAGCAATTAATACAAACAAAGGTAGCTCACCATTATTTTGGTTGATGAGAGCTCTAATAAATCCAAGCAACTGGTAAACTACATAGCATAAAAATGATCCATGAGGCAGCGTTCACATGAAAAAAATTTGGGAGATTTAGGAACTACTTAACATTTCTTTTCAAGTTCCTCAATTTTTCCATTCACTTAAAAATATTGCACAACTATTTCTCAAAGTATTAAATAGAAAGTTATTAACATGAGTATAGGTCAGTTTTGTTAAGAAAAGTATGTGGTTTTGGAGATCTAATACCGTAGATAGTGAATGTCCCCTTGTCATTCAGTGAGACTGGATTTTTACATGATATAAAAAATAATATGTTATAAAATATCTGTAAAATATTTTCAAGGTTTCTGAGATTTTTTAAAAAGGAAGGCTGAAAGTTATATATAAATTATTAATTTTTTTAAGCATTGTAATCTTTTAAGATATATTTTAAAATATACAATGGAACATAACAGTATAAGTATAAAGTATGCATAATCTTATTATGCAAAATCACTCAATGTGGCTGTGAACACAGTTTAGTCAAATAAATCAAAGCAATGACAGCACATTCTATCTTCTTCATTTAGAAGTGGCTATTACTGACAAAAGGCCTGCCAAAAAATTTTAAGCCAACACGTTAAAAATTTAGTTGTCTTGGAAAAAGTCCATCACTCATTTTAGAGGTCATTTTGCAAAATAGTCAAAAGTCTTCTGAAATAGGAGGAAATTATTAATTTTGGCTTATTCACACAAAGCAGAGATTTTCAAACTCAAGTGCTTCATGGCTAGGAGGTACCATGAATAGTACATGAATGTCAGATATAAAATAAGAGGTTTGGAGTGGTGTATGACAAACCGGAGAATCTAAGCCCACCTAAAGACACTAACATTTGGAAAAACTGTGAACATTTTGTTGGACAAAAACCCCGCATGGAATCCAAAAAAATGTATCTTCAGGCTGCTGGTTTTGACCCAGTTCAAGGTATGTTAAATGTAAATAAAATGTATTATTGTACATTTGTTTAAAATTTCCACTGTGACTCTTTTTCTCATGGTCTTATTTGCCACTTGAACTAATTCTATCATTTTAATTTTTAAGGGAACATGCCGGGAGCCACACCAGCCTCTCTGGATGGCAGTCACAGCAAGGATATGGTAGCGTTTGCACAGCTCCAGCCATGAGAAATGAAAACTGGTATCTCCTTCTGCTACTACTGGCTCATGTTGGAAATGAGGCTGCTGGTATTGACCTGGCCTCACAATATTCCATATCAGACCTATATTCTGAACACAGATATCTCATAAGGAAAAGCATATTCCTGCCTTTACAAAAGAGATTTTAGACGAAAGCTCTGTGGGCGATTGTCAAAAGGCTCTTCCTATGGGCATTGCAGACCCAAGACTTGCATAATAAAGGGGGTTAAGAACACAAGGGTTACAATTGAACCTGGCCCTGAGACAAAGAGCCTATTTTGGGGTTAAGGTACAGATAAGAGCAGAACATAGTTACTACATATATCTTTGCTAATTGGTGAAGCATAGCAGTCCCTTCCTCAAGGCCTCCATTCCACAAACACCCTCCCTTACACTGGCAGCTGGGATGAGGACAGATAAGATTAGCTAAAACATAAACCCAGGTGCTAAGACGGACACATTTAGGGCCCCCATGATAGTTTCCACAAACAAACCAACTCAGAAACATTCATCCTCTTGAGAGCCAGACAGAATGACTGCTAGCTTATCTATATACAATTTAACCTATATGTTATCCTGTCTTTCACTAAGAGCATCTTGTTAATTCCTTGGTTGTAAATTCACTATAACTGGGATAATTCTGCAGAATATCAAAAACTTGTTATTGCAAAAGGCCTCCCATTGTAGAAATTCCTTTCTCTGACTTCATGTTGTTGCTGAACCTTTAAATAAAGACACAAAAACCTACAGGACGGAGATGCCTGCCTGGTGATCAGAAAGAATCTCGGGGCTCTCTCACTCTCTCTCTCGCCGACACCGTCCATCCTTCGGGGACTCCTGGACCTGCCGGAGCCGGCGTGGCCTCCAACAGGAACATATTAGAGTAAACCATAAGTTGCTGAAGGAATGTTGGAGTTGGAAAAGTATTTGTTATAGTGTGCACTTCAAATGAAAATAAAACCTAGGAGGATCACCAGTACAGATGGCTATGGAGGGAGAATTAAAGTAGCAGAAACTGGTAAGTGGAATGTCTACAAGCCTACAATAGAGAAAATAAAGCATACATACTGATGACTTAGGAGCTCTATCCCGATTTATGAAAATATACATTTTTGTTATGTGAGAGTGAGTTATTTATTATTTAGAGGTTAGAAACATATGTCTCACTGATACCTGAACTGTTGAATTTTGTGAAAATGGAATTATATAAAAGAAAGACACAAGTGCTGACTTCATCTTTTTTGTACCATTGTTTGAATCTGGTTAGTTTAGGAGGCTGACTACTGAGCAAATGAGGAAAAGTTTCTTGTGTTAAGGCAGATTCTTATTGCTCTACTTGTTTGAATTATTGTTTTGAAAGTCATGGCTGGTGCTATTATTGCCTATTATACTTTTCCCATGGTTTACAGAGTTCTTATTTGGGGGAAGAGGGAACAGACAATAACATATTTAGGAAAGTAAGCCCTAACCTTACTGTGGTAATCATTTCACATGTATTAAATTATTACATTGTATACCTTAAACTTACACAATTTTGTCAATTATATCTCAGTCAAGTTGGGGAAAAATAAAGTGCTTCTCTGCTAAGCCTATTATCTCTGCCTTTTTAATTTGTTTTTAAAGACTGATTTTTTTCCTTTCTGCCTTTTGAAATAGTAATTTATTATTATTTTGCAGTGCTAGAGTTTACTGTGGTAAAGATTTTCAAAGAAAGTTGGGGTTTGTTCTATCAGGCGGCCTGGTAATCTTAGGAATTTTAAGATGGTTAAGGAAGATAGATATAGAATATGCTTCACTCTGGTGTTAGTTTGGTTCCCACAAAAGCCCAGCCTCTCTGAGGGTTCTCCACTGAATGCCCTAAGTGTCAACATGGACTCCCCATTGCGGTTGATCGAGACTCAGATATATCTCAGCCCTATGTGAGCTCTGAGAACTATTTGGTTTATTGCTCCCAAGTTGTCACTTGCCTGACATTTTAGAAATCTACCTTATGCAAGGATACACCTTTGAAGATGTTTGGAGGTCTTTCTCCAGGCATTTTCGTCCTTGCAAGCACACTCCCTCCAAAACTGTAGCCAAGTCAGCCATCTGGGGCTCCTGTCTCTCTTCCCTTACCTCCACAAGACTGGCTCGCTCTTGTGTAAAATAGCCTTCCCTATCACACTGTCTGGAAAGGGCCTCCAGGAAGATGATATAGTTCACTTCATTTGTTTCTCTTCTTTAGGCATAACAGTTCTGGGCTGTCTGTTTTCCAATCTGTGAAAAGTTGTATGGTTGTTTAGTTTTCTAATTGTTTATGGCTGGAAGGTACATCTCACTCCAGTTACTTGTTCATAGCCTCTGGCTGGTATTTTATATGCCCCTTGTATGGGGCAGATAATCTCCAGATAACTATAGCCCAAACTGCACCTTCTCCATTGTCTTTCACACAGTGACATTACCACTCTGACCCCAGAAGACTTTGGAGTTTAAGATTCCTACACAGAAGTTTGGGAGAGGGGCATTAGTGGGAGGATTTGGAGGAGTGTCTAGGTGATGTCAATTGCCAGCATGTGGAGAAACTAAGTCCAACAACTCTGAAGGGTGAGAGAGCTGGGGGTCTTTACAGCCCCAGGATTTATCTTACCTATGGCTAACAGATGTTGGGTGATGCGTGGGTATGCAAAGCAAGGAGGCCATAAATGGCTAAAAATCTCCTTTTGGGGAACCATATTTCAAACAATTGGATGCATTAAATTTTGAGTTTCGCACCATCAGGCTTTTGAGTTACCAGATTCCATCCTGCCATAAAGGTCAAAACAAAAAGGTCCTTGGTATAGGACCCGTCTTTAACCCATTTACCGAACAACTAACTCCCTATTGAAAGACATTTTATAATTTCTCTCCCGCAAACATTGTCACAAACAGGTCAAGAGAAAAATTACATCCTATATAACAAAAGGCTAATTTTGCTAATATAATCAGTACTTCTAAAAATAAGTAGGATAAGATGATAAAATAGCATAGGCCTACTCCCAAATCAGCCCTGATAAAAGCAGCAGAAAAGGGAAGGAATTGGCAGTTGGAAGTAAAATCACAACTGTGAGAACCCTCACGGGGGGTGGGAACTAGCGAGTGATGGGGTGGGAGGTGGGCAGTGAACACAGCAGTCGCCGGGGGAAGAGGACACCTGTGGCAGCCGGGGAGGAGCTGGAGAACATTTAATTTTAGCTCCCGTCTCTCTTACTTCACCTTCCTGACGTGGCACATCACCGGCCTCCCGACAGGGTGAGGCGCCGGCAGAGAAGACAGAGCCCAGCTAACATAAGGAGCGGATGGAAATGGGTGTGGCAACGCCAACTCCCTCGCACCTTCAGCCTCCTGTGCTCCTGTCAGCAAAAGTTCTGCTATTCCTGGACCCTGCTCTTCTGAGACTTGACCCTCCTTGTTCTCAATTTCCAAGAAGGACACATTTAAGAATATGACTTTCAGCACTTCCCCAATACACATGACAGGAGGTAATCAGGAGAGCTGACTCCATCAGTGAAATGTGACACCACAGGTCAAGAAAAAGACATACCTGAGGAGTATATGTACTAGAAAAGAATTTTAAAAAATTAAATTTGGGGCACCTGGGTGGCTCAGTTGGCTAAGCGTCCGACATCAGCTCAGGTCATGACCTCACGGTCTGTGAGCTTGAGGCCCACATCATGCCGTGTGCTGACAGCTCAGAGCCTGGAAATTGGAGCCTGCTTCGGATTCTGTGTCGCCCTCTTTCTCTGCCCCTCCCCCACTCACTCTCTGTCTCTCTCAAAAAAGGAATAAACATCAAAAAAATTTGAAAAATAATTAAAGTGAACAACACATGCCACATTAAGTACACTGATTAGAAGAGATGAACCAATACTTTTAAATGAGCACAATATATATTCAAAAGAGTTGAGGAAGAATACGGTGACAAATCAAAAGGATAAGAAATTACTTTAAAAATTATATATATGTTAGATACATTATATATGATATATATTAAAAGTAAGATATATGGTATATGTTAAAAAGAAGTTACAGAATATTTTGGACATGATGTCTTGCCCATAATCAATATTATTTAGCGGTTGAGTCTGAATAGGGAAAAAATTAAGTCTTATTTTCAAAACCCAAATTAGAATGAAAAAAAAAATCTCTGGATACATGGTTGGTTGAGTTGTTGGCAATTCAAAATTTAGGAATGGGGTAGGAGCAGGTATAGATTATGTGATTGGTAAAACGGTTAGTAACAGGTGAAAGAGCCAGAGTAAGACTTGACTATTTATGGGATTGGTGGTAACATAGATTTCAGGAAGCTGACTGGCACTGGGCTGGACACAGGGAATGGGGTACTGAGGGTATAAGTTGTATCATAGGAAATAGAGCACAGAAATAAACTGTAAATGTTTTGGATTAACTGGATTCATCAATAGATTAATGTCTCCATAACATATATTGCAAGGGTGACCTTCATGGTGTAGATTCACACAGAATGCACTTTTACACACTTAAGAGCTATATGAAAATGCCTTATCTCGAGATATATAGATCCTCTGAATTCTTGTAACAATTTCAAATTCTTGTTTACAATTTAATCTATATATTTTTAAATGGACATATTTGTTGATTAAATACATAGATCTGCACACACGTAACTAGGCACACCCGACGTCACCTTGCTTGTGACTTCTTTCCATGCTTAGTTTTCTCTTTTCATTCAAGTGACAAGCTTCTCTCCTTGACCAAAATCTACTTAGGCTCCTCAAACTTTTTCACCTAGGCCTGGAATTTTAGATTTCCAGTTCTTCTTTGCATTGTCCGATTTTAGCAAGAAAGTCATTCTGGCCAGAATCCCCAATCCTCCATATCTGGTTAACCTGGATATCTACATCCAATCAGGCTCCTGTTCCTCCACCATCGTCCACGTGATCTCTGATCACCCTGCACTCACTACAGCAATAATCTTGGAAGGTTGGTTTAGTCATAATGTCTCTGTACCCCTGATGTTTCCTCTTAGTAATTTTCCATCTACTAACCCTCACCCTGCTCCTTGGCTATAAATTCCCACTTGCCCAAGCTGTATCCCCCACTGCAAGCCTCCACTGCAGTGATCCTTATACTGGCAAAGGCCCTCCCCCTTAAATAAAGTCCACTTTAGCATGCTTTAACAAGCCTCTTGAATAATATTTTTTCTTTAGTATCAGTCTCTGCACAACTCCCATTTTCAGAAGGGGATTTCAGAGACAATCACGTGTAAAACAGCTTTCCTGTTATCCTGCCATCTTTATTTTCTTCAGAGTATTTACACTATTTGAGATAATTGTATATATTAATGAATTACTAATTAGCTAATTTACTAACACATCGCACGGAATGCGAGCTGAGAGCAGGAATACGGTGGGGGAGTATTCCCAAAGCCTGGCACACAGTGGACAATCAAGTATTTGTTGAATGTTTACAGTCTGCGGAATCCTAACAGAATACGCGTAAAAGACCCGTACACGTTGGGAGAAGCAAGCAGAAAAACTAGTTGGAAGGAACCCTGGATATGTAGAAAGGGCCCTTAATGGGTGAACAAAGACTCAGCGGGGGAAAAGCCTTGCTCCAGGTAACTTAGGTGAGCAGAGGGCCTTTTGCCACACTAGGACGTGTGCCATCTCCTAACGGTCTAACCGGGAGGCAGCCAACCTCAATGAGGCAGGAACATCCAAGACAAGAGCCTCGTCCGAAGAGGCTTTTCAGGTGGGGGGCGGGGGGGGGGGCGCGCTGTGCACCAGGGCAGATGATGTCCGAAGTCCGCACTCGGGCCTGGCACGCCACTAGCCAGCCGGGCCTAGCATCGGCGAGCCCATCAAATGCCAGGCCTCACGCTGGGCTCTGGGCCAGGTTCACCCCCGCCCGAAACTCCCTCCCACTGCTCCTCGCCCACACGTACGCAGGATATCGGCGGGCCTAGGGCTGAAAAGTCCAACACGGGATAAAAAGACTTGGTGTTGGTTTCCGGGGAAGTTTTAGAGAGCCGTACTCGCCCCTCCCTTTCCGGTCCGGTCCGCCCCAGTCTTCTCCGGCAACCACGTGTATTTAAGTTGGAGTGTTTCTCTCAGCTGTTGCCACTGTTGGTGAGGTTTTCCAGGTCCGGGCGGCGGAGGTTCTCCGGGGCCGTGAGGACGTCACCATGGTGGGCCCCCTCCCGCTCCCCTGACCCCCCTTCTCTCTCGGGAAGGCTCCCGTCGGGCAGGCGGGAGGGAAGGGGGCAGTCTTGGAAAAACGGGAGAGGGGAAGCGGCTAAGTGATTATACTGCGCGGTGCGCCCGGGTAGCGGGTGCTGGGCTGGGCAGCCCCGAGGCAGGTGCCTGGCCCAGCGTCTGGGCCTTAAAGTTCAACTTTTGGGTTCTGAGCTGTTCACAGAGCTTCCCTGCCCCCTCGAGGGAAAAGACTCAGGTTTCCATTTTCTTGCTATTCACCAAAGTGTGGGGGGCGGAACGATGGGGGGAAGGTAGGCAAAACTTGAGAAAGTGTTGCCGCCACACATGTGTGCCACGTCTTGCTCGTCTAGACTGTTTAGGCTCAGTCTCTTCCCTTCTCGGAGTCCATTCGCCGCCCTTGAGTGATGTGCTCGTTTGGCAAATCCTGTCTTCATGCCCCTCCCCCTGGGCCCCTCTCCTCCGTCCCACCAAGAAGCTCGAACTATTCTGTTGTTTCTATTAAAAATTGAGTAGATGCAAAATAATGTTTACGTTAACATAGTGAAGTGTAAAGATTAGCAACATAAGAAACGCCCTCTTATCCATTATCCAGTTAAATAAAACTTTTGAAAGCCTCTATGTTTCCTTGACCCTGTAACCAACCTTCAGGAACCCTTCAAGTAAACTGCATTTAAATTTTGTATTAATTACCTTGTTTTTTGTTTTTATAGTTACCACTTAACGTTGTATTCCAAACTTGTTTCTTCTGGCTTTTTTTCTTTTTTTACTTATGTTCATTAGAGTAATTCTTGAATACGAAAATGCTTTTTACCTTTTCAACTGGTTTTTAATAAAAACAACAACATAAAATTTGTATTCTGGTGAAAAAAGTTAGGATACTCATGCCACAATGTCTTTTGTCCCCTTTGTTCTTTTTTCTTTTTCCCCTTTTCATTGTATGCCTATAATTTTTGTCTTTCACATCTACATGGTCTGTTTGCTTAAATTATTCATGTCAGTATACGTATAGATTTAGTCTTTTCGCCTTTCGCTGCACTTTTGCTATTTCCAACTCTTTATAAGATAATTTCCTTCCGTGGTCTTTCCATTCCAGAGTGGAACATTATCCATTGATATGATTGTGAGTGATTGGGGGTTGGTAGGCATTTGACAAAGTTGTCCTTGACTTTCAGAATTTCACTTTTATCAGGCTGTATGGTAGGAGGATATTGCCTTGTCATAGGAATCGGAAGAGTGGCATATAAATCTGCTCTCATTGGCATATTTCCTGCCCTTTCATTTTTCTGGTATATCACCAGTGACTGTGCTGTGTCCTTTCTTGAGTTTAAAGTCAGCTTGGCACTGAAGGTTTTCCGTCTTTAAAAAAATTTTTTTTTACATGTTTTATTTATTTTTGAGAGAGACAGAGACAGAGTGCAAGTGGGGGAGGAGCAGAGAGAGGGAGACAGAATCCAAAGCTGGAGCTAGGCTGCGAGCTGTCAGCACAGAGCCCAATGTTGGGCTGGAACCCATGAACCATGAAATCATGATCTGAGCTGAAGGTGGTTGCTTAACCAACTGAGCCAACCCGGTGCCCCTCCTTCTTTTTATATCAGTTAACTCTAAAGTTCTTTCAGTACAGCTTAGAAAGTCGGTTATGGAGTACCAGAGGACTGAGTTTGGCAACTGTCTTTGCTAAATTTTGATCTTGGTGAAATTACTTAACCCCTCTAAGTCTCAGTTGCCTCATCTATTATATTGGGATAATCATAGTAACTACCTCATAGAGTTGTGAAAATTATATGTAAGCCACTAGCCCAATGTCTGGCACTTGGTAAATGTAGTTTAGTTATTGTAATTAACATTAGTAATGGTAGTAGATGATAACAGTGAGCTTGTAGTTGTCTACTTTTGTTACTTTGTTCGTTTTTCTCTTATTTTGAACTTGTCCTGGAGTTTTACAAATTCATATCTTCTATCAAAACTTGAATTCAACTGACATGAACAGTCTTTTTCAAATAATTGATCCCACATAGCACTTCTTCATTCTGCATTTTAAAACGTCTTAGTGTGCTAAAAGTTATTAGTTTGGTGTGTACTGTACATAAGATACTCATGGGTATATTCCTTTGTATATAAACCTATTGTAAAGTTTAAGAGTGCTTGTTTTTCTCCCAGGGTAGATTATAAAAACATTCAAAAGTGTGCTGTTATCCTCCTTGATTTATCTTTACATACTACTGTGGGTCTTAACTATTAGTGACTACCTACATATTCCTTAATGACAAGAATTGTGTGCTTTTGGACTCACTTATAAATGTAAGCTGTAACAACGAATCAGCTTACTAAATCTTGGTTACTTTTTTTTTTTACCAGCTGCATTGAGATAAAGTAGATTTATAACAGGGTATAAGTTTAAGATGTACAGTGTTACGATTTGATTTATGTATATATCGTGAAATGACTAGCACAATAAATTTAGTTAATACATCACATAGTTGTGACTTTAAGATTTACTCTTTAAGCACCTTTCAAGTGTACAATACAGTATTAGTAGTAGTAGTAACCATGCTGCTCATGTTTGACCTCAAGAACTTGATCATCTTGTAACTGGAAGTTTATACCCATTGACCACCTTCAAATATTTCCCCCAACTGGTTTTTTTTTACTTCTGTTTCTATGAATTTGGTTTTTTTTTTAGATTCCACATTATGTAAAATCTTACAGTTTTTGTCTTTTTCTGTCTGACTTAGCTCTCGACATAGTGCTTTCAAGTTTCATCCATATTGTCACAAATGGTAGGATTTACTTTTTTATGGTTGATAATTTATTGTATATGTATGGATATGTGTGTGTGTGTATAATACACCCCACGTTTTTTCATTTGTTGACAGACTTCGGTTGTTTCAGTGTCTTGGCTATGATAAATAAGGCTGCAGTCAACAGAGGTGCAGATACTTTTTCAAAATAGTGATTTCGTACAAATCAAAACCACACTGAGATACCACCTCACGCCAGTCAGAGTGGCTAAAATGAGCAAATCAGAGAACTCTAGATGCTGGCGAGGATGTGGAGAAACGGGCACCCTCCTACACTGTTGGTGGGAATGTAAACTGGTACAGCCCCTCTGGAAAACAGTGTGGAGGTTCCTCAGGAAACTAACAATAGAACTCCCTTATGACCCAGCAATAGCACTGCTAGGAATTTACCCAAGGGATACAGAAATGCTGAGGCATAGGAGCACATGTACCCCAATGTTCATAGCAGCACTCTCCACAATAGCTAAAACATGGAAAGAGCCTAAGTGTCCATCAACAGATGAATGGATCAAGAAGATGTGGTTTATCTATACCATGGAATACTACATGGCAATGAGAAACAATGAAATCTGGCCATGTGTAGCAACATGGATGGACCTTGAGGGTGTTATGCTGAGCGAAATAAGTCAGGCAGAGAAGGACAAATACCATATGTTTGCACGTATAGGAGGATTAGGAGGAACTTGACGGAGGACCAAGGGGGAGAAGAAGGGCGGAAATGGTGGGGGAAAGGGAGAGAGGCAAACCATGAGAGACTCTTGAATGCTGACAAAAACTGAGGACTGATGGATGTGGGGGGGAGGGGGGGATGGGCATGAAGGAGGGCACTTTGGGGATGAGCACTGAGTGTTATGTAGAAACTAATTTGACAATAAACTATTTGTAAAAAAAAAAAAAAAAAAAAATAGTGATTTCATTTCCTTGGATATATACCCAGAAGTAGGATTGCTGGATCATATCATAATTGTATTTTTAATTTTTTGAGGAACCTCTCTGCTATTTTCTGTAGTGGCTGTATCCATTTTCATTCCCACCAACAGTGTGCAAGTTTTCCCTTTTCTCCATGTCTTCACCACTTATTATCTCTTGTCTTTTTGATACCAACCATTCTAACAGTTGTGGAGTGATATTTTATTGGGGTTTTGATGTGCATTTCTGTGATGATTAGTGATGTTGAGCACCTTTCAAAGTACCTGTTGGCCATTTGGTATTTTCTTTGGAAAAATGTCCTTTGCCCATTTTTTAAAAAAAATTTTTTTACATTTATTTATTTTTGAGAGACAGAGAGCACACATTGGGGAGGGGCAGAGAGAGAGCATGAGACACAGAATCCAAAGCAGGCTCCAGGCTCTGAGCTGTTAGCACAGAGCTCGACGTGGGGCTCAAACTCACAAGGTGAGATCATGACCTGAGCCGAAGTCGGACGCTTAACCGACTGAGCCAGCCAGGTGCCCTGTCCTTTGCCCATTTTTAAATCTAATTATTGGTGTTTTTTCTTCCTATTTTTGGCTACTGAACTGTATGAATTTATTACTTTTTTTCTTTTAAAGTCTACTTATTTATTTTGAGAGAGAGGGATAAAGAGCATGTGCACACCAGGGCGGGGCAGAAAGAGAGGGAGAGAGAGAATCCCAAGCGGTCCCCATGCTGCCAGCACAGAAGCCGATGTGGGGCTGGATCCTATAAATTGAGAGGTCATGACCTGAGCCTAAATCAAGAGTTGGATCCTTAATGGACTGAACCACCCAGGTGCCCTTGTATGAATTTCGTATATATTTTGGTTGTTAACTTCTTATCAGATACAGTTGGTAAATATTTTCTCCCATATGGTAAGTTTCCTTTTAATTTTGTTGACCATTTCTGTTGCTGTGCAGAGACCTTTGAGTTTGATGTAGTCCCTTTTGTTAATTTTGCTTTTGTTGCTTGAGCTCTCATGTCATATACAAAAAATATTGCCAGGGTCACTATCAAGGAACTTTTCCCCTGTGTTTCCTTCTAGTATTTATATGGTTTTAGGCTTTACATTTAAATGTTTAATCCATTTTGGGGCATTGGGTGGCTCAGTCGGTTGAGCATCCGACTTTAGCTCAGGTTCATGAGTTTGAGCTCCACATCGTGTTTGCTGCAGTCAGCCTGTCAGTGCAGAGGCAGCTTCAGATCCTCTATTCCCCTCT